ATTACTTGTTTCTTGCAGGGACTGGGGTGGTACTGATCATAGAGATGTGGGTCACTTCTTTCTATCCATAAGGAGGATAAGCAAAATATACAATTCAGTGTGTTAGTGAAAGGATATGTACTCACAGTAAAGTATTCACTTTGAGGCATATACAGTATAATCATCCTTGAATTAATGATGGGAAGGAATATGAGACAGTTTTACTCAATACATGAATGAATGTGGAGAGTGTGTATTGCTCTAACAAAACCATTTTGTTCATTACCCTGACACAAACACACATACGTGAAAATTATGAATAGATTATAAAACATGCATAAAGCAGTTTGCTAATTTTCCACCATATCTCTATGCCTTCCTACACACCACCGGTATCAAATGGGGGTTGTCATAGCAACAGGCACACAAGCCACAACAGGGCTTTTGGAAAACAAATACAGATCAGCATAACAGAAAATCTCCCTTATCCACCTTTTCTACAAACCTGTCTGAATGCCACCAAAGAAAGCTTGCAAGATTGATTTTTGCTTCCCTTGTTTACAAGACAAAAGCAAAACGCAGAACAACACAGGTGACTTAATGACTTTTCTCATGGAATAACATACACGAATAGTATAGTTTTATGTGGCGTTTGAAATGGATTGTAGACTATGCCATTAAGGCTGGCTCCCATTTGAGCCTAATCTGGAGATCTGGGATACGTTTGAGCATCTTACAAAAGACCCATAAAGTTCATTTTTATTAGCAGTTGGTGATATCGCTATTGACCTTAAGTGAATGTATGTTGCTTGACATAGGTAAAAAACTAAAGTGAATGTTGCAAAATGTTTAATTCTGACACAAGTTTCCATCTTTCACAATCAAGGTCTCCCAAGCATCCAAGTGTAGCCCAAGTTTTACTGATTATATCTACTCCATTGTTCATATTAAATATGTACATGAACCCACTGATATTTAAAGACCCTGGGTTAAACAGTTACTCGGATAAACAGTTTTTACTGAATATCTGAAAATGTTTGTTAAAGCCGAACCCAAATGTTCTATGCTTTGGTCAATTAAGAATGTTTCTTTGATTTTATGTTATGTTATTTCAGCCTAGTGGAAAGAAATCATCCAAAATACACAGTTAGGAGTTTATTTTTCAGAAATTCAGAAAACCTGCAGTACAAAAAGATGTTGTTAGGAACTAAACTGGCATCGTCTCAGGGTGATGTATATTGCCAGAAATCTCCACTTCAAAAAAAATGTTGAACCACCGGAGGCCCTCATGTGTCTTCAGAAGTTGGTTAACAGCAACATTTCCACTCAGGCAAGGTCATTTTTTGGCAGCTTAGAAAACAACAGTCTCAGACTAGACATGCTCTCAAAAGGACCATCATTTACATGAGTAAAAACTGAAAAGACCAAGAAAGAACTTTACTCAGGTCTCAATATTCTTTAATCATATTATTGTAGCAGAATGGACTCCTAATAATCAAACATTCATAATGGAATCAGCTAATGTTTACTCGACGGAGCTCGCCAGAACGGCCTCATTAACAGGTATGAACATGTTTTCTAAATGTGCCTGAAGCTACATGATTTCACACTCACAGGAAATGACTTGTTTTGTCAGTCCATCGGTTGCAGAACTCACCAGACATTGAAACCCATCACACGTTGGTGCATAGCTCCGAAAGCTGGGGCAGTGTGAAACTAAAAACTTGACACAGTTTCAGCGAATGTCGATGTGTGATTTTTGCAATCTGAAGGATTCAAAAAAACATTGTTAGGAGGCGACGATAAAGGACTTGATCACTGTGAAGCACTATCAAGTTTACAGGTGTCCAAATAAGCAGTACAAAGACTGTTTGAGTCTCAGTAAAACATCTTTGGCCATCTCAGGAGGATGGAAATAAGATTTTTTTTTTTTTATCAAATGTGTTACTGTGGTTCACTTGTTTTGATCATAATAATAATTAAATAGATTCTGTGGAACTTTGAGAACGGAAGCATTATGTTAATTAGTACTATAGCTAATGCAGTAGTTTTACTGTTTCTTGTGTCTGTATCCAACATTTACATTTTTGATTATGTGGATTTAAACATGGTTGGTTACCTAATCTTTTACATAAGGAATATGCACATAAAAGGAGTACTGCGACATAAACAGTTATACATAAGTAGTGTTATACAACAGTGAGAAAAAAAACCCAATTTCATTGATTTCTATGTAAATATACTCGTTGTTACATGTACAGTTGGTACCATGTGACAGTGTGAAAAATAATTAGCATGGCAGTTGACGTAATCAGTTTCATTATTAATGCAGGAGTAGCTCTATGAAAAACAGCAATCGTAACATAAAAGAAGAGAGGTCAGCCCATTTCAGTCTGTAGATATTTGCCGTAATTGTAGCCATCTGACTAACATCTTCAGTATGCAGAACATATTTAGCATGTTGTGTATATAACGTGAATTGCAGCAACAGATTAAACTACAAATAACCTGGCATGCTAAAAGATGGATGATGAAAAACTCTTAACAAGTACAGTTAGCTATGTGCCCGGCATGGCCTTGTGCCTCTAAAGCACTTTCATTGCTCTGCAAATTTGTTTGCCTTTCAATATAATCCCATCTGTGGATATATTCACTGAGAGAGCAGAGACGGGAACAAACATAACACTTCTCTCCATCTGTGACCTCCCAGCTCTTCATCCTCCCTCTGAATGCAGCGCAACAATGGAGAGGAGCAAGGGAGAGGGAGGAAGATTGCCTCTCTATTCAGGTATCTACTGATGGTACACAAGCTCAAGGATAGCAGATTCAATTCAGAGAATTAAAGTGTGAGAAAGGCTACAAACCCACTTGCGAGATATTTTGCACATGCTGTTTAGACGGAAAGGATTCAGCTAATTTCTAAAGAAAAATTGTAATAAAAATACAATTTAATCAAAAAATACAAATTACATGTGAAGTCAGGTTTGATTTTCAACAACAAGCAATAAACCATATGTAACCAGTTATTATGGTCATTTTGAAGATTTTTTAATGCATATTTTATTACATTTTTATCTTTATCAAGGTTCAAGGCTTTTATTGGTCATACGAACATAGCTACAGTGTAGTTATGACGATGAAAATCTTAGGTCACAGGCTCCTAAAAAAAAACATAGAGGAATTAAAAATATTTCTGCTAAATGTTATAGTCTTTGTAAGACAAATTAGAAGCAATGCAACACTGTGTCCATTTGTTTGTGACCAATCAAATATGCATTCTTTTGGTGCATTATTTTCTATCCCTTGCCTTGTTACCTTTGCGGACGGTTCTCATCAGAAACTGAGGGACCTTGAACAAATTAATTTTTTTTAACTTGTTCCATTTCTTTTACTCCTGAAAACATTTTGTGCTGCAGTGCAGAACACCAGACACCGGCTTTGTGCTAATACATTTAAACTTACATTAGGTTCAACATGCCCATCCAGAGTGCTAGAGCGCACTACGCTCATTATAAGCACATTGAAACTTGTTTGGCATATTTAAGCAACGGTCTATTTACAACATCAGCTCTATATGTATCACTGCAGTTCCACAAAAAAATTACATGAAGGCATCAATGTTGGTTTTGAAGCCACTCCACTTTCTCTAATACACCAATGATCTATAGTTACAAATTTTACTTTTGGCGACGGAAATCTGAGTGCTAATTGGCATAATCATACTTTTTTTGTGTTCTTCCGTTCGGTCTGTGAAGACACATTTGCATGAATCTTAACAGGAAACAGCCACAGTTTATTTTTCCTTGTCCAGTTCGTCATGGATCACACAGCAGCTGCTGTATGATATTTGCAGTTTCGCAGATTTCTACCGGACTCTGCTCTAAAACCAGAGCAGTGTGAAATAAGAGTGTAAACATATTTATAAATATATATACACTTGAAGACAACAAAATGATTTTTGCTCAAGACACTTTAGGATTCTGCTCTCAGCTTGTTTCAGTGCAGCTTTCCCTCCTCACTGTGCTATGGTTCTGAATGGGGTAGTGTGAGTGTGTTTGCCTGTGTGTGTGTGTGTGTGTGTGTGTGTGTTTGCTGTGTGTGTGTGTGTGTGTGTGTGTGTGTGTGTGTGTGTGTGTGTGTGTGTGTGTGTGTGTGTGTGTGTGTGTGTGTGTGTGTGTGTGTGTGTGTGTGTAAGTGGAGGATCAGACCTAAGGCTAGACCATTTTAGACTTAATGTAGGTGTTAGTGATCTCTTGTGAGAATCAGGCTTTTCCTTCATTAATTAATGGTTTAGTTATTTCTAAAATCATTATTTTCTCTACAACCACAAACTTCGTTAAAGGCATTTCACTCACAAAGATCAATTTGCACATAATTAGTATATTCCGCTAGTGAAAACTATTGGGTAATCACTGCTGTGGCTCTGGAGGAGCTTTCTCAAGTCTAAGAAAATAACGTTGATGATTAAACCTGTTATCTCGATCGATGTTTTGGCTTATGCATTTCTTAAATAATAGCAAACCTGAGATGCAATGACTGTTCACAGGAAAAAAACAACCTTCACTTTGGCTTGTTGGGTAGTTTCGAGTTGCAAACATCACCTCATTTTCACACCCAGAACCTCCACCTGAACACAACCAGAGCTTGTCATTACTGCACCTTTTCAGTACCTGAAGGCAAGGATACAAAAATATCTTTTTTTAGTACCGTAAATTATTCATGATAGAGAGTATTACAAATGCTAGATACACAGATTATGCACAAGCATGCTGTTTTCACTATGGTTGAACAGACATAAATCAGAGCACTAACAGTTTGTATTTTTCCTCTCATCCACCTGACAGAGAACAAGGGCAGCCCTGCCACAGCCCCGTGTCACAGGCTTTGATGATACGCTTTCATGAACAACTTCTGTACCTTCTCTTGCTGTAGTGATCTGCATTTTTTAAATTGGTAGGTGGAACAGTCTATCAAGAATGTTTTCTTCATATTTATTCAGGAGATGGCCAGGAAAAGACAAGTCAGGAGAAACATTTAATTTGTGGACACAAATGCACATTTGTACAAAAACATTCTTTAGAGTGCAACGTTGAGCAAAGAAACATCATTTCAAGAAAGAAGAGAAAAAGCTGCAAAAATCAGATATACCAGAGACAAGTGCATTACCCCAGGTAGACAGCTTGCTGGTCAACAAACATGCTTTTTTTTGTTAAACTGAACTGAAATGTCAGTTGAAAAATCTGTGCAATATTCTGAAATCTCTGTGTTTGTTTTATATGCTACGATGGTCATTTTAATGACATGAAGGAAGTAAGTAAACATGGGCAGTTTGGTCATGATGCTATACTTTGTTGATTAAGTAAAACATTTAGTTTGATTAGATGAATATAGTTGTACTGTTGGAGTTCCATTTTTTTGCTGCTGTAGTGCAGCAAACATCACTGCAGTACGATTGAAGTATGTTCGAGAAGGAGGCATTGGTTGCCCTCTAGTGATAACGACAGGTACTCGATGTGTTTCTAAGCCTGAGCTGACATCTGATCAGCATCGACAGCTCACTGTATTATTCAGTAGGTTCAGAGCTGTTGGAAGAGTATCAACAGCTCTAAATCTGAGAAGAGGTTTTCTGCATATAGTATGATTATTTCACTTGTTAGCGTCTCTTTGCAATAGAGTCTATATTCTGCAGTCTATATGAAGGGATATAATCTATATTATATCCCCATACAGCAGGAAAAGTGTATCAAAATCTAAACATATTGACCCTTGAGTGCACATCAGCATGTATAGACCCTGTGTCCAACAGTCTAATCTAATGCAATGGTTTAGAGACACACATGTATTTAACAGCACAATGTCTCATGTATCCCCACATTGTATTCTACAAGTCTGAGAACAAAACACATTTTACATTCATTTTTGCCACACTTGTGCTTCTGATTTTTTGAGACAAAACATTTATCTCCATCTATGTAACTCCATACAAATGAAATATGGATAGAGAACTTCCAACATGATTTGTAGTTTATAGTACAGTCAGTATCTTTAATATAAGTGGTCAAAACCTTTCCTGTGCTCATGTTTGAAGACATGATTAACAATCTATGTGACCCTTCATTGGATCCAGGTGAATTTGTCCATTTTGTTGAATGCTGTCCAACCTTAATCCGGATCATACATTCCCATCAGAGTTTTAGGACTTTGCCCCCTCAGCTGGCAGCATAGCTGTCTGTGTCCAAGTCTGAGGCCTCGGCCTCATCTGCAGATCCAGTATGAGGCGGGTAGGGCCGTGGTAGGTCTAAGTTGACATAGTTTACCTTCAGACTGATGTAGTGCTCTCCTTCCAGACAGGACAGGATGTATTGTACGTCTGTAACCAGGCTATTGAAGCTTGGTCTGCGCTCAGGCTCCGGGTCCCAACATGTCAGCATGATAGAATAGCTGGAAGATAAATAAATGTGTAAATGAGTGAATGAGTAAGCAGGTAAGTCAACTATTGCATGACACTGTGAATAAATTAAATATAATATGTTATCTAAGATTTAAATGGTATATATTCAGAGAGAATTATTTTAGAAAGTATTATGAAAAAAATCCATTGATAAGATGTCATATTATTAAGGCACGGGGTATTAAAAGGGTGCAGGTGTGATTCTTACAAAGTATCAGGGCAAAACTGCGGCTGGGGAAGCCGGCGTCCCTTCAACAAGTAGTGTGTGATGTCATAGGGGTCCACATCTGGATATGGGCTAGCACCTCTAGTCAACAGCTCCCAGAGTAATACGCCATATGACCACTGGGAGACAGATACACAACATGCTGTAGAAAAAATATATGATAATTGTAACAAGCATATTTGAGTGGATTAGATAAGACACACTCACCACGTCAGATTTGATGGTGAACTTTTGTGTTTGCAGACTTTCGATGGCCATCCACTTAACAGGCAGCTTGACCCGTTTTTGATCTTGAATGCTGTAGTACTCCTTGTCATAGATGTCCCTCGCCATGCCAAAGTCAGCCACCTTTGCTGTGAAAGTTTCATCCAGCCTGAACAGAAAAAGCATCATGAGAAAACATCACATCTAAAACACCAACTACAGGTGTTCTCATAATATTGATGAGCAGTGCCAGTTCAGTGTCAGTAAAGTCTCATCTCAAAAATGTTGCACTATTCCATTAATATCTTTTTATCAATATATGTAATTTTATATATATTGGCCAATAAAAATATAATTTAAAAAAAATACTACACTAAATTTGTATTATCTTAAGAAGCCTTCAAATGGATAGGGCAGCCATGTTGCTTTGAAGGTTTACAAATCTAAAATATACTTCAACAATCTTTGGTTATGATAAATAAGAATTACAATTTACAAAAGTAATCAGGTATATTTACTTTTCTTTAAAAAAAAAAAAATGTAAATAACTTTTGGTTATGTGTTTGTTGTTACATAGTAGTTTTAAGCAATTAGTAAATATCTCTATGCTGTAAGTATTGTAGTTGACCAACGTTAACCAACACTGTACTTGCTGCTTATGTTAAACCAAATAAGATATTCCATAACTTAGATAGCATGTTTGTATGACTACACGATGTGAACTAGTGTGACAAAGCCTTGGGCCAGTCTTCATTTCATGATTAACACTTACATGCAGTTGCGTGCAGCCAGGTCTCTGTGGACAAATTTTTTCTGGGCTAAATACTGCATCCCCTTGGCAACCTGAAGCCCAAAACCTATCAGGTCCTTCACTGTCGGGTTCTGTGGAGGACAAAGAAGTATGAAGCAGAGCGGACCCACCCAAACGCCCAAGCTCCGGAGTATTACAAATATTCATGACCCTACTGGTCCAGAACGTTTAATTGTGTAATTACCCTTTTCTCAGAGCGGATGAAATGACGCACATCCCCATGTTTCATATACGGTAGGACCACCAGAGGGAGCCCTTCCTTTGGCAGCATGATGCCCAGCAGAGACAGGATGTTTGGGTGGTGGAAACCTTTCATGATGATGCCCTCTCTGAGGAACTGGTCCACCTCCCCCAAATCTGTTATCCCTATTGATACACCACATGCTGTTATACAGACCAAACCAGCAGCCCATACAATTCTGATTTCAATTATTAAAAAGGTATTCACTTACTGTTCAGGGATTTAACAGCACAGTGGGTCTCTTGCCCTTTGCTGTCGATCAGGTATCCATGATAAACTGTCCCAAAGTGACCTGCATAGTAACAGAAGGTGTTTATTATGAATGCTTTTTCTAAAATATTGACAGGAAAGAAAACAACAAACACAATAAAAGACAAGAGATTTACCTTTCCCGATAATCTGGCTATCCTCAATTCGGAGCATTTCTGCAGGGATCAGGACATCTTTTACCTCTTCGAGAAGAACAGAACTAAGACTGACCATTGAGATATTGTCTCGTGGCATTAAAGGAATGGCCAGATGATCATGGCTCGCAGCATACATTAAACCTTGGAAGGCCATTCCTCCTGAACCTGATGTTTGACTGGACAGATCCACTGTATAACACAAAGGAAGACACACCATGATGTCGTTGTTCTTAAAAGACAGTTTTGATACAAGCCTTACTAGAAGGGTAAATTGGACATGTTGAAGAAAGGGCAAAATAGATATAACCAATGATATGGATTAGGAATGGACAGCTGAGTTTGGATGTGTCACCTCGTCTGTAGTCACCTGTCGGGGAATAATCCGGACCGCTGCCGATGCGGTTCCGTGAAAGCATTGTTGATAAACGATTCTCTATGTTGGCTGTAAAGATACATATGATAAATAAAAGTCTGAATGTATACAGTAAAGGGAGTCACTGTTGGTCATGTTGATAAGTAGAAGAATATGACCACAGTTCCAAATTTAAGATTTTCTCACCTCTCTTTTTCTTCCTCAAATGAATCATCACAAGTAATGCGAGGCCAGCCCCTAATACCAGTGCAGCAACGATCCCCAGCACAATGCCCAATATCATGGTTGCGTTGTTGGTGTCATAGTTGACCACTTTCCCCACTTCAGTAACTTCCCCGTTCACAGACACCTACGATAGTGTAACAGAAGATGACTCTGGTTAGATACATCAACCTAAGTTTCCAAAAATGATTTAGCTTAAGGTTGATGATGATTTAAAAGCAGACTCTCTCACCTGGACAGGCAATCCCTCACTGGGAATAACCAGGCCTTTAGGAATCCTGCAGGTCAGCTCATTCCCCAGAACCTTGGCTTTGCAGTTCACACCACCAATGGTCATTGTGATATTCATACATGTCCTCACAGTGTCCAGTTTGTTGTGCTGTTACATATGTGAAAAAAGAGAAAGATTCCCATATATCAAATATATTAAGAGAACATTTGAAAGATAAAAAGTATGTATGGGGAAAACTGTATTATTGAAAGAGTAAACATACATGCAGTGACACTTCTGCCTCTCCTTGTTTTATGGGTAATTCATGGTCATCATTTTCAAAGGGAATGATGTTGGCATCATGATGGTAGTTAAAATGTTTCCCCCAGAGCTTCCTTCTCCCATCCATGTGGATAAAAATCTCTCCACTGTCTGACTTTTCTTCTGGCATTTCCTCTTTAAAAGCAGGGGCCCAGCACTCTATATATGTGGCATTTGCTGTGTCGTTGCAGACCTTAGTAGAAAAAAGCATGACATGGTGTATTGTTCAAAATCACAACTACTGTTTTAATCATAATAGGAAAGTAATATTCAGCTAAAGAATGAAGATGAGTGGCCATCAATTGATTACAATTCACAAGCATTTAATGACCTGTATTTAACTTGACAAAAAAGTGTTATTATTGAACAAAGTCTATAAAGACTTACACAACGATGAAACCCAGGGTTTAACTTACTTGTTCAAGTGGTTGCAGGTTGGGATTTTTGGAAATGTACTGAACCACAGTTGTGTGAGCAGAGTCAAGATGTTGACCTTGTATCACTAATTTGGATCCACTGTATGAAGGAGTAAATGAACAAGTTACAAAATAACATTGAATAAATGTACGCACAAACATTGATTGTCTTAATAAGGTGATGTAAAGTGTCTTTACAGTAATATTGTGTAATGTGTCCATTAATAGGACCAGAGCTGACTGGGTTCTGTGTCTTACCGTTGGAAACTGCAAAGAGGATGCACAGAGTTTATAACAGGATTTTTCTTGTAGAAGAACATCTTAGTGGTCGACACTTGAAAGTTGTCAATTATAATTTTCACAGTTACATTCCCCACCGCTGCTGCAGCAGCTGTATTGCAGACAATTGAAGAGGTCTCACTCTCTTCAGGAGCACTGGAAAGAAAATAGATTACAGTAACCAAATACAACACTTTAAAAGCATTCACTTAAAAAGGGGTTTCTGAACACAGGGAACTTGACTTGTGATCATGTCATATGTTGGCGAAATAAGTAGTCTTTTGTGTCCCTCACCTTTGAATGATGCACTTTTTTTCATCAAAGAAGACATCTCTCTGTGTCCCAGAATTCAGATATTTTCCTGTCAGAGTAACTGTGGTTCCTCCAAACATGGGTCCAAAGTCAGGCCTGATTCCAGTTATGCTAGGCTCCTGTTTAGACAAAGGGGTAATCTTTTAACACTTTACACTGTAACATTTGTTATAGCATGTGTCCAAATTAAGAACATGTGCAGACTCATTGATTGCAAATTGTTTCAATGCAGAAAAGTTCTCACCACAAAAGAGAAGCCAGGCATCTGAGCAGTGCCTTCAATTGAGTAGCGGCCCTCCACCTCCCCCTCGTGTACTTGCAGGGTGATGTTGAGGTTCTGGCTTGGTGTGTTTACCTGGATCTTGCATATTAACCTGTATCAAAGGACACAAGGAAGGACATGTCTAATTAATTCTGTAGATGAATATTTTCCTGTAGTCAGAAAGAAACAGACAGCTTCAAATGTAAAAGAAAGACAGATTGTTTCACCAATTTTTTCAATTTTGTTTGGAAAGAGAGGGTGCTTTTTGAAGGACTAGCAAGCCACAACAAGCTATAAGAACACATGCTCCCCATGTCTTAATAAATATAGCCTGCTTATAGTGCATTAAACATAATACATAACAAAAAAATGTAAATGACTCATGTCAAGTTAAGTCAAGTTTGTATTTAAATATTGCTGTCAGTAACTGAAATTGTAAATGTATTTACATTTGATCACTTTACTTCAAATAGCTCTTAGAGACCTAAAAACAGCTTACAGTCATTTATAGCAGCTATAAAAAGGATAATGCCAACAAATAACAGTTTACAGGAACCTTGACTGGTTGACTTATGACTAGCATTACACATTACGTTACACATACATTCTATGAAAGTGGCATCGTGTGATACTCACACTTCACTACTGCTCTTTTCAGGCAGGACCGTACACAGGGTCCCGGAACCAACTGTGATGATGTGGGTTTTGCCGCTGATGATGGCGGGTCGCAGAGGAGACTGAAACTCCCAGCCACACAGTGTCACTTCTGTCTCAGCACCAGCAGGTACCATTGTAGGGAAAAACTGCAGAGAAAAAGGTTTTATCATCCAGAGCAGTCAGCCCATTTAGTACAATCAGATTACCTTTATAAGTCATGTTGAAACTGCATGCAGTGTTTAATCAGTCACACCTAGCGGCAGATCTACCTCTGTTATGACAGGTGCGCAGGAGTCTTTGTTCCACTGCGAGGCACACTCAGGCTGCCTCGAGCATGTTCCCGAACACCAGCCGCAGTTCATGAAGGGTGGAGCCGTCAAACACATGGAGCATGTCATAAAATGTGCACACCCCGGTCCTGCAGATGGCACCCTGAACATCTGGATCAGGGAAAGAGAAAGACGGTGGTGGAGTAAACCAGATGAAACAGAGAAGAACAGTCAGAAAATAATAAGTAAAACATGGTTTATGCTGTTGCTTGACATTATAATAAACTGATTACACTTGAAGTACTTTTTTTACTCTCATACAAAATATATGAAACCTTGTTCAACAAATGACCGAATGACAAATGTCTAATAGTTTGTGTTTTTTAGATTTTTACTCAGAAGTGTTGGTGTGTTCACACTTTTTAAGGCTGCAGATACATTTGTGTGCTCCAGTTTCTTTTTCACCCCTAAAAGATAAGCAGTTTAAAAATTACCTTATTTCCGACTGCGAAGAGAAGAGATTCATTTGAGTAAACTTCTGCTGATCTGGACACTTTGGTTTCTCCAAGAGAATAGTTGGCATAAATAATTGGCCTGTAGAGAGTAAGAATCACCTAAACCACGCAAACAGAGAGGTAATGTTACAAACATTTTCATTTTGAGGGTCTTATATAATATATAATATACACCTGCTTCTGGCTGATGGACAGTAACAATATAAAAATGTTGTGGTCAGTTATACTTATTAAAAGAAGCCATAATTCCTTGATTCCAGCTTATTAAATGTGAATATTGTGTGGTTTATTTCCTCCTCTATTACAGGACACTTAATCACTTGTACTTGTGACAAAACAAGACACGTGAGGAAATCCTTTTGGACTTTGGAATCAGCATTTTCTGACCTTTGTACACCAACAACTAACTGATTAATCGAAAACGAATATTAAACAGATCAGACACCTGCAGTATCCGACCATCTGAGGTACCAAAGTGGCCCAGCGTGTGATTCCCAATAGTGGTGACTAGGACAGCGGTGAAAAGGACGCCTGTCATCTGCCTGTTGAAGAGGTCCAGTCGGTAGTACGGCTTTGACACCAGAGTGGGTTTCACACTGCATGTGTCATTACCTTCAGAGCTCTGTGAAAGTAGGAAAAACACATACAGATCAGCAATGACAAAATCTCATACAAAGATAAATCTGAAGTATCTGCCTCTGTCAGCAATATTCTCTCTCTAAGCACATACAACATGCGTATGCTTGTGCGTGAAGGGGAAAGAGATTTAAATAGAGACAATCTTAACCCATCATTTTAGAAAGGAAGTGCTGTAGCCTCGCCTCCAGACATGCTAGGAACAAGGTCATAAAACAAGTGACTCCAGCTCCATATGTTGACTTTTTCTCAGTGCAGTTAGTCAGCTACTGAAACTAGGCTTTCGGTAAATTCACACAAATAAAACAGTTGATGTGTGTGGATGGTTGTCAGAGCAAGAGTTACTTTGGTTAATGAATTAGGTGTGGAAAAAGAAGGACATTTTAAACTAATGGTAAACATTCCACTGCAAAGCAATTAGGCTGACCTGCCCCAGCATGCCTCTGTTTTCCTCCCACCATTTAACTGCCCTATATTCACATCTTTGATCTTTTCAGTCTCTTCAGTTATTTTTATTGTACACAACCTTTTTTTTACAAAAACTTGAACTCCGGTAGGAATTTATGCCAATCGTTTCAACCATCATTTATTGATAGAGTGAAAGAGTGATTCTTTCCTTCCTACCCTTCACTTCTTCAATATTCTACACATTTCCTGATTAACATGTTAATCATGTGCCTGTGTTAAAGTCAGGCACAGCCCCACTCTGTCCCTCCCCTTCAAAATTCCTTTTTTTATCAGCATGATTTATAACTTGTGTATGTTGGCACACATTCCTGTAGGTGTACACATGGTTGTGAGAGCTCAAAAGACGCAGTATGAACTCCACAAAAGGGGAACACCACACCTTTATTATTTTGTTGAGCACCACAGCAACATTCTCTGTCCAATGAAGGGGCTTTAAGCGTGAACTGATTTGTACTTTCTTTTTACCGTCAAATACATTTGTACCTAGTCAATAAATATTTCCTGCCAGGTAAATTGCTGCAAGCGAAATAATTAAACATAGTGTAATTATTTAGTCTTATGTTGATGAAGCTGTTTTTCATATTTAAGCTCTTTAGACTACTGAAAGCATTTGCCACCCTTTCACAGAGAAAGACTGAAACCTAACCTTAACAGAGTCGAGTAATTGTGTGGCAATGTGCAGGTCACACACTGACTCATCCACCCCTCCCAATTATCTCATCTGGCCATGCTCTCTCACACACCTTTCAGTAGTCAAGGTTTACTTTATACTATCCCTTATTTATCAAGACAATATAAAACGGTAAGCTTAATGATAAACTACAGTGTTCCGGTCACAGGTGAGTTAATTACACAATGTTTGTCTCTCTAGGTCACTTCCTGTCTGGGCTTAGGGTGACCTTTGCACCGTTACTCCGCTCTGACAGCAGTTGAACAGAAAAAAAAAAGAGTTACTCACTTCGTGTGGGCAGCTCTCGCACGGCTGGAAGTGAGAGAGACCTCTGGACAGCTGCTCGGGGCCTGACTTGCAGCAGGCATCCACGCCTTTATCAATTGCATTATTTATTTTAGTCAAAGAAAAGGCACACAGAGCAGAGTGTTTTCGGGGTACTCCATTCTCCTTCACCTCTGCAAAAACCCCAAACAGAAGGTCTTCTGCCTCGCCCACCCTCAGCTCTTCTTCCAAGTCCTTCCCCGCTCGCCCAAAGTGTGCCGCCTGAAGCCCATTAAACACAATGTCCCTGAAACCATCACTATGTTTCCTCCTGCGCTTTGGTTCGTACCGGCACTCCAGGACCACTTCTCTGTACATCCACACCTCTGGGATTGATATCGGCAGTCGCCCAAGGCGGGTCTGAAAGGCCGAATTGTTATTTGATGGGTTTTCTCTCTGCAGGGACAGGAAGTAGACATACCTACCTGTGGAGAAGCTGTAGATGTAATCAATCTTGTAAGAGTCCTGTAGATTGGGGAGCACTGTCAGACCCTCCATGACCATATGAAAGCCATCTTCAGTTGAAAGAGGTCTCACTACTGATATTGACCTCCTTGGATACTTCTGAGCCACTTTGTCATTGACAGAGGCGGCTACGAAGAAAAGCAATGTGGCGGACTGATCCACTATGGTGACTTTGGTGCCCAGGGGGCTGGCCAGACAATCTGGACAGGCGGTTGGAGAATTGTTCTCCTTTCTGAATAAACACTGAGGCTTGGGCTCTGCATTGCCAATGTCAATGAAGTGACAGATCCCATGCTGAGTGCTCCCACATATGTACAAGTAGGGAAAGGGAACGGCGGACATATCCAAAAGCAGAACCTCATTGTCTGTATCCACTGGATCTGCAGGATCTATTTCTATGTCAGACGCCAAACATGTTTCGAAGTCAGTACTGCCAACAGGTCCAGTTTTCACCTCCCAAGTTTTTTCCATAGTATAGCTGACTCCCGATATTACATTTTGACATGCAACGTACACGTCTGAGTGATGCTCCTCGTGGTTCACAGCGATGTTCTGTATGGGTTTGTCTGTTTGGAAGTGGGGGAGGGAGTATTTTACAGTGAAATCTACCAGCCTGCGTGGAGTAGAAGGACATATGTGCTGTCCTGAGGCTGTGTGTGTTTGTATCCATATGCATACTGTCAGCAAGGCGGCCCAAGTGACCATCTCCACGTCACAGTCCACCGTGATTGAGTGCTACCTATAAGACACTTTTCTCAAAGAGATCATTCTGGAGAACCAGTAGGAGAGCTCTGTGAGGAAAAACACAGAAGGAATGTTGAGATTTGACAGAAAGCAGTAACATTTTATTTTCACATTCAACAAAGATTCACGACTTTGGATATACACTTATGAAGTGTAGGTGGATACTCTAAACATTTCAGCTTGTTTAAACTGAAAAAAGCAGAATGAGGACCTGACAAAAGAGGAAAAGAATCAGCTGTTTCCTTTACAAGCTTGTGATTTAGTAGATTCTGCTTTTTCAAATGAGGAATCTGCAATTTCAGATAATTAAGAAAGACAGATATAGTATAGCTGTGAAACTTTTGAGCCGAATCTGATAAAGTCAATGGAATAATAAGCTGATAGAGTCAAGATAACTTCTACAGTGGGCAGGACGTGACTTGCTGCAACATGTGCAGCAGCTAAGGAAATGTTCAGGCCTCCAGAGCCAAACACAGAATAAACAGAATAGTAGGCTACTAACTAAGCCTTATTTTGTCAAAACACCTATTATTAAGTATTCTTTCGATTCAGTATCCTTGATCACAATTTTAACACTCCATTATGCAATGGATTACTGTTAACGTTTTAAAACTGTGTTGAGGATAAAGTAAAGATAACTTCAATAGATATTTTTCTGCATAACAACTGGTAAAAAGACATATCCTAGGCAGGTAGGCGATTAACTGTGAATTGTAAGTAAAGCGTGTTCAGCCATTCATTAACGTGGAACAATCACTACTTTACAAACATCCTACATAAACAATGTTCTTAAACATTTTTTATAAGACTTACCTCAATGTGATAAGGGGCAGATGTAGCGCGTGTACAATAGTCCAATAATGTCCAATATAGGTATTTCTTTACGAGTTTAATGTCCTGGGTCAATGTAACTCTCAATAACCTGAAGCAGCGCTCTCACCTGACAGCACGGAGTCCCACTGGCACAGACTTTACATCAGTGTACTGATCTAAATCAAGACTCTGAGATTAACCACAGTCTACAGGAGAAACAGGATATTACACTCACCTTCAAAATAAAAGGGCGCCAGGTCAAATCACTCATCGTGTGATTTATCGTTTATTTATTTGCTTTATGGAATATATACATACATGCGTAACTGACTGTAAGAATGTCTATTTGATCCATGATTAATACCATATTTGGTTTTATTCAATGACAATATCAACACAACATGTCATGATCCCTACAGGAGAATTTCAGATAACAGCAGAACAAGCAATAGTCTGAAGAGAGAGCTCATACTTTTACAAATTATATCATTTACGATTTGAAACATGATTTGTTCATATTACAAGTCTAAACTCAATACAATAACAACATGTACGCTGTAAGAATTAAATACACAGATCATAAATAAGACGTTGGTATTTAAGTTCCAGTATGTTGAAAAATGTAACAACTGCATTTGATATTTGTTCATTTTAGCAGAAAATCTGTTTAGGTATAAGTATATTCTGGAACATTTACAAGATTTAAAGGACATTTCTCATGATTTCTTATTTTGTTTGTATTATTATTTTTTTTAGATAGATACGTTTTATTTTTGAAAGTTGATAACCGGATATGGAATCGTCATTCAGTCATGCTTGACTCTGAAGTGTGTGCTGTCCTGTCAAGCCTCGCCCGCAACAAGGAAGTATTGAATTGTTACGAAATCTGTCCACTTTAGAATGACCCTCATCGTTTCCTTCCCAAGAGACATGTCATATCATCTGCTGCTCTTTCCATTCAGGCCGTGTCAATTCAAGTGGAAAAACTTTCACAACCTCAGAAAACAGTCTACGTCAGTCTACGTCTGTATAGGATGTTTGCCAAAAATACATATCTTTCAGCTGATGGAATGAAGTTAATCTTCAAATATAGGAAGCTGCAGCCAGGAAGATATGAGAGGAATGTATTTCCTCTCCAGCCAGACCACCTTACATAAAGCCAGAAATGTGACCTTTGCTTTGACTGATGAAAATTACTACCATAAAGGAGAATAGCTATTGATAAATTGACTCATATTGGCCAAAACACTTTAACATATAAAATTAGGCTATTCAGCATCATACAATGTCCAAATAGAGCTGTTCTCTTTGACATAATGAAGCATTATAGATCCAAAAGTTAAACATCTACCACTGAATCCAAAGTTCAGTAATCACAGACTGTTTGAAAAGTTTGTATGGCCTTATTCCTTCAGAGGAATATGCACTTGAGTTGAGAGTGTCATTTTTAAATGCATAGTGCTCTAAAACTAAAAACACAAAGATCAAGCTCACTCAAGACATGTTTGATAGAAACTGCAGAGCAAAAAGTGGCAGAGAAAGTTGTTTTGATTTAAACTCGGGAAGGACTCACTCTCACTGGCCTTTCATATCCTGATACTAATCAAACAAACTGTTAAGGACATCACATCCAGTCCCTAACGTTGCATCCGTCTCTGTATAACTCATTAAATACTTGACTACTAACACAGGGGACACACATACAAGCAATGCACTGGGCCATGCAGCTTCGATTTAGATTTTAACCATATAAGGGTGTGTGTTGCTCTTGGGCAGAAGTATCTCTAGAGCTATATTAATGTCTAAGATTAAATTCCTAGAAGATAATTTATATTTAAAGTCCCTAAAAAAAGCCCTCAAACGTAAAAGCTCATTTAAAATTGTTTGTTTCTTTACATACAAGTGTATGTATGATAAGAACATTGCATCTGATATGGGTGGTTTTCATAATGCTGCCTCTATATGATAAGATATTTCTCGTCAAGGAATGCAGCTTTCTTTTTTTAACTCCTCTTCAGATTGAGATTGTTAAAAATAAAGACCACATTAAGCAATAATAGGGTGTATCAGTGTAATATAATCATGAAAATGTTTTAAAGCACAGAAAAATGCTCTGCTTTTTATTAAATATGCAACTATTTTTGATTTGTAAATGTAAAGATTTAGCAACATGTAAAAGTCCCTCCTATAATCACACATAGGTTGCATAATTATAAGTTGCATAATTATAAACAATAATTGGCTTCCGAGCTAGTTGTGTCTTAAACTCAAATTTAGTTGTACAATGTGAAATCAAAAGGGCGTCTAAATCATTCTGCGCTTTAAGGTCAATAAGTAACAAAAGACAGAATACAAGTTTTACAAAAACATTTTTTATAAATGTCTGCAGCTAAATAAAGAAAGAAAAATATCACTTACCTTCAAAGTGTGTTTCTACGATGAGTGAATAATACATTTTCACTCTAAAATCTTCCAGTTCTAGCTTCTAACAGGTTGTGGATTGCACTTAAGTACATTTACTAAAGTAAACATCTGCAGTGCTCATACTTTACACCATTTTATGCTAGTAGGTCTACTTTATACTTCTACTCTGCTACATTTAAGAGTTAACTATTGTACTTTTTACTTCAACACATTTATGACAGCTTTAGTTTATTTGCAGATATAGATTATTTATACCTCAATCAATCTTAATCATATAACACAATTTTATTTGAAGATACCCAGCTGAATATAAAGTAAATCAAACCAGCTCGAACCTTACTTAAATGCAGAGGACACCCTGCATAATTTCTAGGATTCTTTTCTCTACCTTAATTATTAAATGATGGAAAATCCTTTTGTAGTTTTACTTTTTAAGTATTATTTAGAACGCATGCCTTTTAATTCTAATAGAGTAATTCAACACTGCATTCATACATTAATCAAAGTAAAATATCTGAATACTTCTTCTTCCACCACTGCTTTCAAAACCCACTCTCATAGTCTTTAATAATTTAGATTCATTCCCACAGGAGCAGGATGTGGTTACAATAATTACCAAATGCATGGCTTCAACTCTGACAGTCCTGACGCGCCCTCTAGTGGCCAGCCAAATGTTATGGCATACAAACAACCCTAAAGATTCTTCTGAAACGAAAGTGAAATGCATTTCTTTAAACGGTTATATCTTGTATGTCACACCCGGTTTGTGTTTAGCTCCTGATTGGGTCTGCTCGGTTGTTATTCCAGCTGATCCCTCACTAAAAACTGGTCACCTCATATTGGAGACAGCAAGAACAACATGTCAGAAATCGTTGAAATCGATGAAGGATTGTACTCCAGACAGCTGTAAGTATTTACTGCACATCAATCAACCGATCAAAATGTATAACTTTAAAAGCTGCTGGTCCACAGTTCCACCTGTTATTTTCACCTGCACAGGTACGTTCTGGGTCACGAGGCGATGCACCGGATGGGCACAGCCAGTGTTCTCATAGCAGGCATGCGTGGTCTTGGGGTAGAAATAGCCAAAAATGTGATCCTGTCAGGAGTGAAGTCTGTCAAAGTACAGGATGAAGGCCAGGCAGCGTGGAGCGACCTTTCATCCCAGGTACTAACCCTGTGTGTTGATAATCTGTTGATCCTTAAATAATTAAACCTATTAGGAGATATGTGTCAGATTATACGCTGTGATTTATGTCAACAACTTCTCGTTAGCTCAACAACAGTTTTCCAACTGTAACTTCCTGTTTAGATGACAGGTGAAGTTAGTTTTAGGTTGTATAAATATATATGTATAAAATTCATTCGACATGTTCGACAATCACACTGGTCTTCTTGGTCAGGAGTCGCTGTGTCACATTATATGGAAGCTGTGGGAAAAAAACTGACTTTTTTAACAAAAAATTATGTGTATTGTTTGATTCATATTTTGACATGGAAGCTATTGAACAGAAAAGTGAAACTAACTGTAATGACACTGAACTGCTTAGTAGCTGCTCCATCAGGCAACTTTTTAGGTTTCTTTTTCGATGGAAACATGCTGTCAAAACATTCAAAGTGGCATCTGAGCAGTCCGGTTCACAGATGAGTCACTGTGATACTGTCAGGTGAACCTTGAGTTTATCCTTCAACCTGTAATTTCATTTTCCCACCAGTTTTTCCTGAAGGAGTCCCATCTTGGTCAGAACCGAGCCACGTGTTCCCTGCAACAGCTGTCTGCCCTGAACCCACATGTGCGTGTGTCGGCCCACACCGGACCCCTGGATAAGGAACTGCTTCTGCAATTTCAGGTATTTAGGTTGAGGTGCTAAAGGCTTTTTTAAACAGTGCAATCTACTGCCTCATTGAAAAATCCAGAATCTATGAATATGGAAATATTTTTCATTTTAAATCTTTAACTGCTAGAGATAGATAGATATCTCCCACTTAACTCTTGTTACTCTCAGTGTGTGCATTGAAGCTTTTTTAAGTTTCCAAGCCACCCTTGCGTACGTTGCGTTTTGGATAAAAATTGCCTTCTAAAAGGCTGTGATGTCCAAAAATTCTGATCAAACATATTTAACTCTGATCTTAGATGAACACAGTAAGAAAAACAGTAACAACAAGGTGGAAAAAAATCTGAGTGGAGAGGGAACTGTCCATTTTTCAGGTGGTGGTCCTCACTGAGTCTTCACTGGATGACCAGAAGCGTTTTGGTGATCTCTGCCATTCACGTGGAATCAAGTTCATTGTAGCAGACACCAAAGGACTCTGTGGGTAAGTGGACAAGGCAAACTATCAAAAAACCACTTGAACCTTAAACATGGAACACATAAGTTAAAACAGTGTGTTTTATTTACAGTCAGTTGTTCTGTGACTTTGGGGAGCAGTTTGAGGTCTTGGACAAGGATGAAGATATGCCTGCATCATCAATGATACAAAGTATCTCTAAGGTAATACCCTCCATTTGTTGTATGTCTCTGGCAAATTAAAAAACTCTCTAACAAATCAACAAATTAAAGATATCTGCTTATATGACTATCTCTGAACTGTCCGATTAAGATTGTAATAATTCCAAATGTTTTTATAGATTTTGTTGAAAATATGCATACATTATTAGTACGACATGTCTTTCAACTTTGGAGGTTGTCAAAATGACTTTGATTTAGGACAATCCTGGAGTGGTGATCTGCACAGATGACCAGAAGCATAGATTTTCAAACCGTTCAAAAGTGATCTTCTCTGGAGTCCAAGGGATGACGGAGCTCAACAGCATCGCTCCTGTGGAGATCAAAGACTGTGGTCAGTGTTACCTAAAGTCACAGTCTCTTTCCTCAGCTGACAAAAAAGAGTTTAGTCATGAGCCACATGGCACTCAACGTTTTCCACCTGGCCAAGCAGTACGCCAGCAGAATGTTATAGTTGTGATGAGAATTGTTTTTTTATCTGTCATTATCAACTCCTTCACCAGGCTCCTACTCCTTCAGCATATGTGACACTTCGACCTTCTCTGAGTATGAACGTGGTGGAGTAGTGACGGAGGTTAAACAGCCCTGCATGCTAACATTTGTAAGTATACAGATTTAGTTTGAACTTTTTTGTTTTCTGATGTTGTAAATAAAATAACTACAACACCAATTGCAGAAACCGCTGAGCGAGGCTCTATTGGACCATCAGCTGCTGAAACTGAATGGTAATGGAAAAGATTGGAGGCACAAGACCCTGCACTTGGCTTTCCAAGCCCTCCACGGCTTTGTGAAGAAAGAACAGAGACTCCCTGATCCTTGGTCTCAGGTCTGTAAAGGTTACAAACCAGCCCATTTATTTGCCGAAACAAGTTTAATAGGATATTCTGTTTTATCATAATCATTAAAAGCAATGTATTGGACTGTTTTCACGTACTTCATGATTCATCCCACACAGTCAGATGCAGAGGCCCTGCTTGCCATAGTGGGAGAGCTCAACACAGTCGCACAGCTGGAACAGCTGGATGAAGCTGCTGTGAGAATCCTGTCCTTCACAGCTCAGGGTGACTTGGCTCCTGTGAATGCTTTTATTGGAGGCCTTGCAGCTCAGGAAGTTATTAAGGTTAGTTAAAAGGTTGACATACATACATTTTATCTCTCAGTTTTTGATAGAGTATAACATTGATATTGTTACATTGTGTATAATATATGTATACGTAGCACTTGGTGTTGCTTATAGCTGACTGTTGCTCTGTGCACTCTATACTGTACCTGCAGGCGTGTAGTGGGAAATTCACGCCTCTTCAGCAGTGGCTATATTTTGACGCATTCGAGTGCCTTCCTGAAGATAAGGACCAGCTCGCAGCAGAGTGCTCAATTTCAGCAGTATGTGAAGAGGTTTATCCATTTAAACAAATCACATATATCATTCACAAACATTTGATGAGACTTATGATGTAAACTCAAAAACATTTTTGTACTTCCTCTTTGACAGAAAGGCTCGAGGTATGATGGACAGATTGCAGTGTTTGGCTCAGCCTTCCAGGAGAAACTGGAAAGGCAGAAGTATTTCCTGGTGAGGGCAGGTTTGGTATTTGTCCAGCAGGGGGCACACTCTGCATAAGAATACAGGAGCTCCATCTGTGTTTTCCTTTCATCTGTCTGGTGTTAATGATGGCACATGCAGGAAACGGCTGTGATACTGGTGGCATTTCCTGCCAGAGTTGACCTCTTGGTGTGCAGAGGCCATTCAACGGTGCCAAACCCTTTCCCTGTTTCCTATAGAGGTGTTATTTTGTTACTGTTGTGAGTGCTTTGTAAAAAAGAGAGTGCGTGCAAGTGTTTATTTCATCACTGTAAAAAAGGCATTCAAAGAGTTTGATTTAGCTGCTAAAACTAGTCAGCTAGTCGATTTTCGAATTTATTTTGTGAAAATGTATTACTCTTTAAAGTAATTTATCCTACACAATTCTACAAACAGATTTAGGATTTTTTTTATATGAAGATTTCTTGCATTTGTTTATTTGAATTCATGTTAATCTTTGAGTTTTGGACTGACAAAACAAGGCATTTAAAGACACAACCTTGGAAAGTGGGAAGTACGATGAATCAATTAATCTAGATATAAAGCGAATTAATTGATAATGATAAATATTTATTGTAAATTGCAGACCTGAAAGTGCAATAAAAGATTATTCATTTTCTTTAACATTAGACATTGGAACATAAATATAAATATTTGTTTATCTTTAGAAAATAACACAAGCTAATACAACATAAATTCTGACACAGTATCTCTCGTCATTTGTCTAGGTTGGAGCTGGTGCTATCGGATGTGAGCTTCTTAAAAACTTTGCCCTCATTGGGCTCGGTGCAGGAGAAGAAGGGAACATCACCGTAACAGACATGGACTTCATAGAAAGATCCAACTTGAATCGACAGTTCTTGTTCAGGTCTCAGGATATTGGGGTGAGGAGACTCTGTAATGAAGAACCTCACATGCCATCATAGCTCACTACTTCTTGTTTGACCTGGTTAAGTGGAAGGGTCAGAGGGCTTTACTAATGGGACAGGTTGGGGGGGGCTAAGGTGTTGTGACAGTCTGAGATAGGTTGTGTCAGATTACACATTGCTGACAAGTTCCATCATTTGTGGCAGTTTTGTTTTGCTGTGTACTTTAGAGGTTTATCAGACAGTTGATCACTAACATCTGAGTAAATAACTCCCAGTGTCTAAACAACTTACGCAACACATAGTTGAGTGCAGTTGGAGGGTATGTTGACAAAAAAATCATTAAATGCACTGAGATTCTGGAGGAAAACTGTGTTTATTCTAGTAGTAATATAATAGAGAGCAATGAGACGGTTTATAAGTCTTCTTTAGGCTTTTGATGTTGCTGATTTATTTGAACCGTTTGATCGATACAAAAACAAATCTGGATATTCCTTCTGTATGCATTAACATTTTGTTCACTGCACCCTCCATCTGTTTCTGTTCTACATTGCTGAAAAACATTATCTCTCAATGACACTGACGACTTGCTCACCTGTAAATAAACAGAAACCAAAATCGGACGTTGCGGCCAAAGCAGTGCGAGAGATGAACCCAGCGATGAAAATCACCGCTCACCAGAATTGTCTGGACCCTGACAGTGAAGAAGTTTATGATTACAAGTTCTTCATGGGTCTCGATGGAGTGGCTGCAGCCCTTGATAATGTGAAAGCAAGTGAGTGCACTTACTCTGTCTTCCTCCCCATTATTTTTATTTGTATTACAACCGTGAATATACCGGAGCCATATCAACATTTAGTACAACAGCCTTTAACCGCTCTTTTTGATTCCCAGGAGTCTACCTTGACGGACGCTGTGTGCAATCCCAGAAACCGTTGCTGGAGGGTGGAACTTTAGGATGTCAGGGTCATACTCTGACGGTGGTGCCTCGCCTGACAGAGTCTTACGGCCCGGACAAATCGAGTTCTAATGATGCCATCCCGCTCTGCACTCTCAAGAACTTCCCTCACCGCATTGAGCACACCCTGCAGGTACCATGTTAACATATAATTGAGAGTTACACTGATCAATTCAACTCCCTCTGCTTCAAAACCTACAGTGAATGACCAGAGATAGAAAAAAAAGCAATACCTATAATCTATTGTTTTTGACTTTTGTTATTCCGCTGATTCTTATATTCACCTCGTTTAAATAGAGGTTGAAACTATTGAAAACATATTTTGGAAGAAGTTTTTTACAGGACTCCCACCTTTTGGTCATTAACAAATATTGGAAACATTATAATGACCAGATGATGGTGCTAAATGAAAAGTTAAAGAATCAAAATCAATCCTTATTAATGACATGATGCATGTACCAATTTTCATTGCAATACAATTACTCTAAAATGTAGTGTAGTGTGTGCAGTGTATTTTTTATTTAACTGATTGTATTTTCCGTACATATTGTTTTATAGTGGGCCAGAGACCAGTTTGAAGGACTGTTCAAACAAGTACCTGAAAATGTGAATCTTTTCCTGAGGTAAGATATGTTTAACTTTTTTCCACAACAAGTGTGGCTTCCAAAAACAACGTTTTTAATTACATTCGACTATCTGCTGCCAATCTGCTGGCACTTACTTACCACTACTTCCTCATTTTACAATGCGTTTCTGGTCTCCTACAAAGCATTCCAGCAAACCTACAAAACTAATGAAGTGCTTCAAGCTCATTATTTTGTTTTATAAACGGGAAAACATGTGGTTGGCTTTTAGCAGTAAACTCCTAGTAAAAGAGTATTAACAGTCTTTCTTTTTTTCCATTAGAGCTATCTAGCAGCTCAAACTGTTTTCTACAAATAATAGTGAAATATCAACTAATTAGAGGCTTTGTGGTTAAGAAACAATTCTGAATAATTAAATAAAATGCTATTTAAAGAAAGTACTATATAATGACAAAAGGCTTTGTCAGTGTGTTGCTGATACATATTGATTTGAGATGTGATATTTGCTCGACTTGTGAATCTTTGAGTTTGTTATGAAAAACACGTCATTCTAATTATAATGTCACAGTAACAGATTTGAGCCCCCAGGCCAAAACGTAGTCTGAGCTTTGAGGCTCCGGAGCCCCCCTAATCCCGCCATGTTTTGAGATGTCTCTGTTTGTTTTTGTGAGATTTGATGTAATTCCCCCTCATTGTGAAGCACTTTCTCGCATCTTTAAACAGAAACAAAATTCACGCCTATAGCAGAAATGTTCATCGTTGGTCAACACAGCCGTTACAGTTCCTCCCATCACACTGATGTGTGGAAATAAAAACATGTATTATGTGTTTCATCTGAGGTTTCTTTGTGCTGCAGTCATGGAAAAGTGCTCTGGACTTTTTCATGAGGCGGGTCAGGTAAATGTTGTAGTCCAGTAAATTCAAGCTCTTGTTGATGAGTTCATGGAAAATACAGTCACATTTTGTTGTGTTACCCTCCCACCTGTGCAGCTGTAAGCAGAACTATGACTCTCAAGGTTCCTGTTTAGACCTGTTAAGGTGTAACTGCGCACAGTGGAGGTAGATCCCTTTTTGTGTTTGCAGTGCAAGGCTGTGACTGTTTAACTGAAACATGATAATGGCACATGAACTGTTCAGGTGTGTGGTTTGCAGTTTCACTGACCAGTACACTACAAGATTATACTTTCCTTCCTATACGTACACAGCCACGCGTCAAAGGAATCCCCTCTGAGTCACTAGTAGGACTACACCCAGATTAACTAAGATCTGTTTAGTCATTCTGCTCTGTGCTTCCTTAAATCAGATATTTTTCCATACACGCTTTTCTGCTTTCCGTTTCAAATGTTTTTCCCACTGTGTAACTGGTCTTTCCCTTCCAGAAAAATAGATGTCATAGCTGTTATTCTGTAGGTTACACTCTGAGAATGTATTTTACAACCAGAAATGTTGAAGATACCTGTCAGGTCTTGTCTTTTTGACATCTAATGATTGCCTCTGTCTGTCATTACATGATGAAGAATTTCTGTATGGTTTCCTGCAGAGATCCAGAGTTTATGCCTCGGACTCTTGGTCTGGGAGACGCTGAGGCCCTGGAGGCTCTTGAGGCGTTGTGTAGCAGCCTGGAGAACATAAAAGCTGGAGGACAGCGTCCAACGAGCTGGGAAGACTGTGTCGGCTGGGCACGGAGCAAGTGGGAGAATCTGTATAACAATGACATCCGCCAGCTTCTGCACTGTTTCCCTCCTGAAGAGGTAAAATCACACGAGGAAAATATAACTCTCTAAGGCCCCCATTTCATAGAGCTGTGAACAATGTTGATGCACACAGATTGGAACTGTTTTTTATGTAAGGTCCTTGCATACAAATCAACAAAAATCTTCCTTGTGGCATTAGCACAAAAGGAAGGCGAGTCAGTGTTTAATTCTTTACATTTCACTTCATTGTGTATTGCAGCATATTTCCCCGGGCCTTAAGAACCACTATTAACCTTGTCAGAAAGCTGAAACCACTAAAAGCCATCTCTGATAAATATCTCTGAGCGGCTCTGAGGGTTTGTAATCTGGTGAAGCATGCAGACAGTGATGTCACATCATGCTGTCACACCTGGGGGGGCACGGATCAGTATCAACCCAAACAAACCCTCACTAACTTCAGTCCGGCAACTGGCCGTTTCTACTTTCATTAAACGTCCCTGCAGGGTTATAGAAATTCCTCTGTCCAATTGTGATTTTCCCCTGCATTTCCCTTGAGAAATAATCTAAACTTTTCATATTATTTCGCTTATAAAATTAATAATTTTTCTTGTGGGGTATTATTTGCATTGGGACCATTATAGAATCCTTCCTAAAATGATTGTTAAACGTTATAATCAGAACACACTCTACAAACTCTGTGGCAGTTATGTTATGTTTTTGCTTCTCTTTTTCCTTCCATAGCTGTTGTGGTTAACTACTGTTTACAAGAGTTATGGTTTCATTGTCATCCTGGAAAGTGACTTTGGACCACAAACTTTCTGAGGAACTATGATAAGGCAGCTGATGTCCGTTAACGCTCGCAAACCAACCAGACAAATATGGGTGCACAAACATGACAGATGGCCACACTTTCAACATAACGGCTAATTTTATGAGTGTGAGCCTCCATATAGAAGTGTTTGAACCTTTTACTAACATGACAGTAGAGATAAAAGGCTTCATATTTTGTATTCAAACCCATGCCTTACAGTGAGCTGCTCACTTCTTGCTAATTAAATGACCGCAGTTTAAGAACATAAAAGAGGGCTGAAACTAGTGTCTGGAGAGTTATTCAACTTAAGACAATGTGTTTTTCGTGTTTTAAATAAAGCAATTTTAAGACATGGTGTTAAGTTAACATTTCAGTTATTTTTAGCACTCTAAATACTTAAATACAATGAATTATCTTCTTTCTTTTTTTAAGATTGATAAAGACAAATCAATTGTATTATTAAAAAAAACACTCTAAACTCAAAAGTCCACCTATTATTTATTATTGAAAGAACAGTGGTTCTATGTTTGACTAGTCTTATTTGTACCATAGGAACGCCTTATACATTCTTAAACTTAGTGATATAATACTTTTTAATTGTGAAAAGGAGAATACATTAGATGCCTTTTGGCTACTTTAGAAAGCCCCCCTGCTGTGAGAACTGGCACCACAGGACTCTCCCTTTCCAGCATATGGACCATTTGGAAACATCAAAGCCCTCAGTCTCTTTGTTTCTTTATCTGAAATACAAATGGTGTTGTCAACACAAGACTGATAACAATATTAGTCTGGCAGTACTACGGGAATCCTCCTGCTGGTTCGAAAATGTAAAGGACTCGGTGATGTTTATCAAGTAATACACTCATACTGTATTTTGAATTTGATATAAATGTCAAGTTTAAAATCATTGGGAATATAGAAATGGATCCCTTTTTAATTACACCTATTATTAATAACTACGGTGAGCTCTGTCGATATATCGAATAAAAAAATGTAAACGAGATATTTTAGCTATCTCGAATTTTAACTGAAAAAACGATTTTCTTCTGCGTCCCTTTAGAAGACTGCTGATGGTCTACCCTTCTGGTCTGGATCCAAGAGATGTCCACAGCCACTGACCTTTGACTTCAACAATGTAAGTAGAACCTGGTCCGGCTGCTCTTTTAGTAGTAATCCTGACATGCATCCTAAAACAGGGGACAGGAATCACAGAAATGCCACAGTATTTGTTGATGACTGTTAGCATTCCTTCTTTATCTGATGTGATAGTAACTGTTCCCGACTTTGACTGTATACGGGATTCTTATCTGATCTGTGAATGCCACTAAACATGCATATGGATAATAAAAGGCAGATAATAATCTCTTATCACGTTCACATCCTTGATGATTATCTCTACATACTCTAATATTAAACAAAGGAGATAATAAGGTGGTAATGAAGCAGCTGAAATTTACACACAACATAAATAATGGAATAAGAGTTGCTTTCCTTGCATTAATGATTCGAACAGAAATTTTCAACCATCACTGTACTTTCAGCCTTTATTCCATCTACTGCTATCTGACTCCTTTACTGTTTATTTGCCCTTCAATCTTTATGAAATGTTGTCATCTTATATTTTATAAGCTCTCAACTTTGACAGATGATCCAATTGCACACTCCGGTTTCAGTGCCAATGTTCCTTTTCCTATAAAGTTTGAGTGAAGAGTGTATACTGTGTATTAGTTGGAATAGTGTGGTTCTACTTTACCACCTGTGTGGTATTGGTATTACAAAATCTTTTTTTTAAATATATTTGTTTTCACTTTTAATGAATTATCTGTTAAGGTGTGTGTGTGTGTGTGTGTGTGTGTGTGTGTGTGTGTGTGTGTGTGTGTGTGTGTGTGTGTGTGTGTGTGTGTGTGTGTGTGTGTGTGTGTGTGTGTGTGTGTGTGTGTGTGTGTATCTCAGAAGTATTTACTGCTGTAGATATTCTCTATTAAAAGCGAATCTATTCTATATTTAATTGCTGGATTTATTCCTGCATTATGAGTCGCACAATGCAACATTAGCACAACTTGTAATTATTCTTATCAGGGAATTTAAGTATTTTAAAGTGTACTCAACTGAAGAGAGGTAGAATAACTATGATTTATATGGAAATGATGTTTTCTGATAAAATATGACAAAAGTGTCGATTTAATTTGAAGTTTATATTTGTATTATGTGTTTTTAGAGTACCCACAAGGAGTATGTGGTGGCAGCAGCCAATCTGTACGGGCAGATCTACGGGATCAAAGGCACAACAGTCTGCGCTTCCATCAGAAAAACCTTAGAGAAAGTCTCCGTACCGTCTTTCACTCCCAAGTCCTCCGTGAAGATTCACCTCACTGATAAGGATATGGAGGAGGACAAAAAACAGGACAGTGATGATGCCGGTGAGTTATTTGAACTCCATGATTTTTAATGTCACTACTCACTGTCTTGAAGAATTCCTTTTTTTTCATGTCTCTCTTTGTCCATGCTACAGAAAAAGCCAGACTTGAGGAGCTGAAAGGAAAGTTGGCCTCCCCGTCTCTGAAAAGCTCAGCCATGCAGATGTACCCCACGGACTTTGAGAAGGTAGGGTGGGAGCACAGTGACACCTCTGCTGCACGCTCCGCAGAAGCAGAGACAGACTGGAGGCTTAGCGTTAGCAGGGAGCTGCACTCAGAACTATAGGTGCTTTCAGAATATGACTTTCTTTCCCTCGTCTTTGGGTCCTTAGTGACCCGAATCTTTGCTTTTGCTCAAAACATTCATGAAACAGAGCTTGCTTGTGCTCTCTTTTCACTGTTAAAACTCCCTGGGGCTTAAATATATGAATCTGAAGAAGTTTACATTGTGAAAAAACATCTTACTGCCAGCTCACATGGAACAGATTTATTTAATATGTAAGAGGTGTATTATAAAACTTTAGGAAAAATGCATTTCATTCAACAACTCAGGACAAAGACATAGTGTCTGCACACGTGTCAGCTGCATCAGTGAAGGGAGTCCTGAGGGTAGATTTCCCCTGTATGCCTGTCAGTCACAGTCTCTCCTCACACTCTCTTTCACTGCCTATTAACAAATAGTCACTCACTGTATGGACATTTAATCAGGTTTAGCGCTGAGTTGTCACCTGGAAGTGTCTGGGGGAGCCAAGCATAAGGTATATATCTCTATAAAGTGATCTGGGAGCACAGACATACAACAAATAACAACTTCCCAAAGGTGTGTCCTTAACAGTTGCTTCAGCACAGTAAGCTAAGTCAGAATAAAGAAGATCAGACTCTGAATAGACCCAGAATCAAAAACAACTTTGGATTAAAGTTATCAGCCAGTTTCTATAATATGCTTCCTGTAAATTCCAGCAATGTGTTCCTTCAAATTTCATCAAAGGACCAAAGAAAATATTTTATTTATTTTATTGTATCTAATATTACACTAAACAAATGCAGAATACGATGCAGTTATATTTTAATCATAACCGTGGATGTTTATCCCAAAATATCATTTAATCTTATACCTAATTAAGAAATGTCCTCTTTTTTACCTGTTGACCTATTGACCCTGCAGGAAAATCCTTGGTTTCCTGAGAAACCTTGGAAAAGGAGTGTAATAATTAAAATTCTTACCTTTTTGATACAAGCCTTTTCTTTATCTTATTAAGAGTGTGTAGGCGAGCAGTGTGTCACAGTGACAAAACCTTTACCTCCGACCATACACCTCCAACAAAGACATATTAGCGGAGCAGTCAGGGTGCAGTTGCTGTAGCTACAGAGCTGAGTGTTAGAGGAATTTAGACAGGCTATAGAAATGACTAGCAGGCAGTGTGAGTGACTCAGGAGAAGCAGTAATGAAGGTGTAAAAGGTATGTCTGGTACATATCGAATATCCTCTTGAATAAGAATGAGACCCCCAAACTACCGTGCTCCCCCTCCTCATTATTGTTTATCCCCACATGCCCAGGTCGTGCTGTGGATAGATGGAATGTGTGTAGGAGGGTTTCATATGCATCAGGTTGCCAGCTAGCAGCTTCCTCACATCCCCTAAAGCCATCCCTGAGTGACAGTCGCCTTCCTAGCCTTTGTAGAGCCGCTGAAGCAGAGGCATGACCTCACTGGGCTTGTCCATCACAACAGAAATCTGATTTCTTCTGCATTCTGATGGGGTGACCAAGTCATGTATTAGGCTGATCTAAGCGACACAACAACAAAGCCTTCAAAGCAGCCACACTGAGCATCATATGACTGCGGGGGTGTCACTAGGCATGGACATCAATACCTAATCAGATACATTTTGTCTGACGCATCAAGCTTTGGAGCTATTTGAATGACTGATGTACTGTATGTTTATTATCTCACCTAATACAGGATGACGACAATAACTTCCACATGGACTACATTGTTGCTGCATCCAACCTGAGAGCGGAGAACTATGTCATCCCTGCAGCCAGTCGGCACCAGGTCAACATTTTCTCTCCGTGCATCATCAAAACAAATCTCTGTGAAAGGGTAAAACATATTAAAGAGGGATGAAGCTGAAGTGGTGGCATGGATAAGAAAAAGGCAATGAATACTGCTCCCCCTCCCTTGGGGTCATGTTTTTAGTCAACGCAGCACACACCTGCCCTAAAGCCACAGAATCAGCCGCCTCACCCATTGTTCCTGGGGCAGAACTAATCACAGCACTTTACCTGTCGCCTGGGAGGTGACACCTGAGCCACCTGAGCCACCTGAGCCAGGCCTTGTACCAGCCACTGCTGCAGACACACCGCCAGGACAGATGGGGGACTGGGGGAAGGGTCCTGCTGAGGGAGGGGAGACAATAGAGGGTTACTCATGTGTAATCATACAGAGATTTACACATGTAGCATCATGTTTGGATTTATTTTTCTTTAATTCACCTTTTAACCCTGGATTCAGGCAAAACGTACAGTATGAATACACTAATAATAATAATAATAATTAATTACATTTTGTAGAGTGCTTTTCAGAATGTCCAAAGCGCTTTACATTACATTACACACATATCAGACGTGTAACAGTAAATACTGTGGACAATACCCACAGGAGGTAATTAGGCTGAAGTGTCTTGCCCAAGGACACAACAACACTAAAAAGGCAAATGTACCTTAGGTAAAACAATTAATGTATAAAACAATGAAAAATGCCACTGACTACATTTGACATAGGCCTAGTAATTATTTTGAAGAAGATGCATAATACAGATTAAAATGTGAACTCGTTTATAGAGTCGTTAATGTTAGGTCCAACAACATCAACATGCTTCTTTTACATTAATAGTATTAGTTAGTACATTTTGATCTCAATTTAAAAGTTATACTTAAAACATGACCTCTCTTGTGGTCTAATGTTTTGTTTGGATGGCTATTTTAAGTATATGGTCTATATACTCACCCACTTACTTAAATGTTTCAACCAGTGATTGTGGTGGAGCTGAAGTATTAAAAATAACACCACATGAAATTCAAGTTAAATACAAGCACCTTAAAGATGACATAAAATGTGTAAATAAACTGTATGTATAGTATATATATATTTTGTACCACTTACAAATTGTAAAACAACAAAGTATGATCATATCATTCTACTTTATTGAACTGCATTTTAATAGTGTGCTTTCCTCTGTCTCCTCCTCAGAGTAAGCTCATAGCTGGAAGGATAATCCCAGCCATAGCTACCACCACAGCGGCGGTGGCAGGCCTGATGTGCCTGGAGCTATACAAACTGATCCAGGGCCACCAGGAGATCAGCTCTTACCGGACAGCATACATGTACCTGGCTACCTCGTACATTGTATTTTCCCAGCCGTCTCGGAACCGCTACTTTGAGGTGAGTAACACCTCTGTACACCCACAGCCATCTTTAGTCAGTCAGTGATTGTGGAAGGTTTAGAGGAAAAATTGACAAAGCAGTCATTCACACTCAGAACCTGAGTAGGGCACTTTACACAGCCTGACAGACTCTTACTGTATCTACATTAATAATTTAAGCTTGTCTACTTTGGGAATAAATATTTTTGGTTCTTTGTAGATTTACGTCCTTCCTCTCTGTCTGGAGCGTATCAAGTCATGAATGAAGGCTCTAAGAGACCACTGCTGACTCTCAATATTTTGCATATGAGCTAAATCCTTTGCTAGCTCAGTATAATCCTCAGGGCATTTCAGTGCAGGTAAAGCATAAACGCACCCGTTTCTGCTTCTGTGTTTGCACAAATTAAGTGAATTTAAGGCAACTGTAACTCAAAGCAAAAGTGACAAGAGCTTATTCTCTTAAGGCTTAAGAGTCCTTCTTATGATCAAATTCAAGGTAACGTTTGAGGTTATACCAGGTGGGGGAGGTCATACTAAGTTCTTTATGCTGTATCGGCCAAGCTTTAAAACACAAACACCAAATGGCTACCGGCCAGATTCAAAAGCCATGGTTCAAATTGTAGGCAGAGTACAAGAGGATATCCCCCTCTAAAAGTCTTTACTGTTTTTCCCTCAATATCTCACCTCAGATATTGGAGCTGCCCTCTCCAGCGTTCTCACTCGGAGCATTGAACCTCTGACAGACAGGGGTCACTGGGGGTCAGCGAGTGGGGTAACTGTGTCCTCTGGGACGTGAGCCTGCAGTGGTAGGGGGCTCTGAGACAGTGTAGGTCTCGTTTCAGCTTCAGTTACAGGCAGAAATGCTGCAGCTGCATTAAAGTCTGCTGTGATGACAGAGGCAGCTGTGGCTTTCTGCACAGTTCTGAAGTTCCAGGCGTGCCTTCTTCCTTACTTACAAAGACCCCGGTGTCCTCACAGTTGTTGTCAGCGAAAGTGTTTTCCCATACTTCTAAAAATGTGCTGCTGGCCACTCAGAAAGTCAGGGGTTATATTTTCAATTGTTGAATCATTACGTCAGAGGGATGGGCAGACGTTTGATTTTCCAGACCAAGGCTTTTTCAGCAGCCTCAGAGTGTTGTATTTTCACCTATTAGGGCACTGGGTGTATTTATTCTTAGACAGACAGGTCACCACTAGAGGAAAAAGGCTCAGCTGAGGTTCAGCATTCTAAGCGTCAGGTTCAATTCTAGCATCAATAAATGAGGAACGCACATGTGCTGGTACATACTTGCAAACACAGAGAGGATGAGAGAAAAAAATGGTTGGCTGCCAAAGCTTTAGCCTTGTGAGTGGGAGACGCTCTAATGTCTGCCAAAGAAAACATTTCAGTTATAAGTCCTCATGATGAACTTAAGTTTGTCCGTGATACTTTGTAGGAAAATAGTTCAGCACCTTTTCTCTACCATTTTCCCTTTCTTTCATTGCAGTGTGTTATCCACATAGGTAATTGTTAAACGACAAGTCCATAGCTGTGTTATAGTTGTTGTTTCCAATATATGGGCCGCTCACAATTATTCAGCCCTATTTCAGAATGTTAAATAAAGTGAAAATAGTTTATTTGATCAAGTCTGTAATTCGGATCTTCTCCAAAATGTAAAGGCTTCTTCCTTCAACTATGCGGCCGTCTTCCACCATGTTTTATTAAAAATCAGGAGAGATATTTTCCTGTAATCCTGATGGCAGTGAGACAAACTGAGCTGAAACATGACCTTCATGGCGGAGGTAATTAACAGATTTACGGGACCCTTATCAAAAATGGAATCAAGAATGTAAACATAGATTATTCAATGCAATAACTTAAATTAGCAGACAAAAATGGAAGCAGAGACAAAAGCAACATACCTATTAATACTGTTTTATCTTTAATCTGTCTAGGATTAGAGAAGGTTTTATTAGGCCCCCTTTGAAGCAACTGCAGACGTGCAGCTGTGAAATATCAATGATCAGACATGCAGCATCAGGAGCTCGGCTTACTTTTCCAATGACTTAGACCTCTCCCCTCGTGAGATCAGTCTCAGTTCATTAATATCAAGTAACAACACTCACGTCTCACTGGTAGTATTGGTGGTCCACTCAGTGTTGTCCCACAGTGGAATTGAACCACCGCATTACAGCATTGCCAGATGTTTGTCAGTCATCGTAATGAAACCTGCATTATCACAACTCTGAAGAGGAACAAATATGTTAATGAGATGTTTTTTTGTGATTGAAGGTTTTAGGAAAAGGTGTTTTAGATGTGGCTGTGTACCACAGTATCCAGACAAAACTGTTCAGCTCACAGGCTCTTTAGCTGAACTAGATTACAGTTCGTTCTCCCACCATGCTAACCCTTTGCCAGAAATTGTTGCTTTAAGGCAGCTCTTTCCCAAAATAGGAAGTTCCCCTGGCCTTCCCTGCTGATGTTATGGAGGCAGAAATATGTAAACAAACGGGGGGCTGTCCTTGTCTGATCAACACTGCGATTCTTTAGTATCATTTTCCTCCTAGTGTTTATGTTTGTCACCCGGGGGTCGAGGGCACAGGCCATTAAAGGAGTACCAAATCTGGCAAGCAATATGTACATGAAAGTGTGTTGTTACTGGGCTCAGATGGTGCTGCCGCAGTTTTAAAGCTGCAGTCTTCAAGCCAGAATGTCCTACTCTACTGTCGGCACCCTATTTGTCATTGTGTTTACATGGTTTACTGGAAATTGACATTTTAAATATATAAATATCTGCAAAATACAGCATGACTTTCTTATGATGACAATTTCTTGCAGAATTTAGACACATATTTTCAGTGATATTCACATTTTCCAGATGTTCTATTTAATTAAAGTGGCTCCATTCAATATTTTTGATATATTAGAGTCTAAAAAGGGGGTGCTTATGATGGAGAACCTACAGAGGATTATCACCCGACTCAGAAATTCCCTGAGCTTTAGATGACAATTTAGACGGGTTGATATTATGATTGTACAGCATGCAAATGGCTTTTCTGCTTCACTCTCGCCAATCTCTACAACCGTTTCAGGCAGCAGCCCACAGATTGTTTCAGTAACATTTTAAACCAAATGATAAATGTTTGCCTCTAACAGCATTGAGACAAGGTTAGTGACTTGCTAGTTTATGTAGTAGAGCATTTAGCAACTGTAAGGAGGCATATCTTTCCCTGAGGAGTTGGCGGAGACCCCAGCTGAAAGGAGAGTAAATATTGGAGTCATGAGGTCGTAGGTAATACATTACAATTTTGATTTATCTTATTCCAATGCTTGGGATTGGCCAGAAAAAGATAAATGAATGCTAGTTAAAATGCAATCTTGTTTGCCATTTTTACTTTACAGCACATAGTTAAAGGAGCTCAGAGAGATTACATGGTTTGTTATTGCAATCACCAAACCTTGAAAGACACCAAAGGATAATTCATGGACAACAAGGATTTATGAGTGCTGTGCTCCTGCAGCTGTAACCGAGCTGCAGCCCCAGCAAAACCTGTGAAGTGAAACATCACCCGGCCCAGTCCAGGACAGAGGAGGACGTGTTTCAGCTGGATATTAAATTGCTCCATCCCCAACCCCTCCAGCAGCTCTCTGTTTTAGTGTCTGCTGTCTTTGCTTGTCTGCTGGGCTGCCTGCTGGTTGTGTGCCATGTAAATACTCCCTCTTCCATGTCTCTGCACACCTCCTCCACACCCTAGTCTTCACTCTGTGCCCTTTCATGCTCCCTCTGTGCCCTTCTTTCCCAGCTTGCCCTTTCGGTCTCTAATTGAATTAACAGTGTTAGAGGCATGACTCCTGAACTCAAGAAAGCCACTCACACTGGTTCTTTGTTAATTGCCTGCAGAAATGACGGGTATTTCCTGCCTTCACAGGAAGCAGTGTATTGAAACCAGATTTCCCAGTGATCTCGCTGTAAGGTCTGAACAGCACCAGGAGGAGGCAGGGGGTTTGAGATCATCTGCTCCAGCCTCTGTTTCTGATTACTTTTTATTCATCACTTGCTCAGCAAAAAAAAACCTTTGCATTTCTTGTTGGATATGCCCTTTGAGAAATCAGGAAGACACTAGGTTATGTCAACTTTTTTCGAATATATCCAGGGTGGTTGCATGTTGTTTTACATATAGAAGGCAAACCTGCAGCTACTCTATTTGTGATTTCAGCACTTATATAATTGAAGGTCGCACATCTGTCACACAAATAAGAGGGGCTGGCTTAAAGAGAGAAAGAGGACAACAAAGGGGGAGATTTACCTCACATGTGGTTAAATCTATGTTGGCCTCCTCAGACTGTGCCAGAAAGGGTGAACATGATCCAAGGCCCTCAGTATTCCTCGGGGAGCTCCGGCGTGGAGCTGCATTGTGCAGTTTGTAACTTAAGACCCAGACATGAATAGTGCTCACGGGATAATGAGTAATCTGTGATCAACATCGACGGCTTGTGCCTTCTGTTGTCCTCCAGGTTTTTTGTTGGTGGTGTTATTGTGTGGTTTGCCTTGTGGTTTTAAGTAATGTGTTGTTTACGCTGCATTGTTCCGTCACTGCTGGTTTTCAGTTCCCTACAAATCATTAGCTTCCCATCTTTTGTTTTCAGCAAAAATGTTATTCTTGTACATGGGTTGTTTATTTGTGTAGCATCAGACAAGAACAGTCATTTTCCAGAGAACATTCAAATATAGGTCCACTTATCCAGATAATTTATTTAGTAGCGTATGTAGAACAGCTCCTTAATTCACCAAGCACCCTATCCATTTAACCAAATTAGAAAGCAGGAGATGTTTGGTAGTTAGCAGCTCTTTCAAATCATCCTAAAAAATATCTCCTCATCACATACATATTTAAGCCACAGGCCAGACTGTTTAATGAGTAACAGAATAACGGGAAGGCCCGCCCTTTAACTAGCTGAATCATGGCTCAGGCCTCTGTGATGACAATGAGTCTATATCTACTTCTCTGAAGGGTCCTTGAGCAAGGCAGTAAATCCCA